TGATTTTGCTAGTTTGGATGTAAAACGTTAATAATTATAAAGTCCCATGAAAAACAAATGTGTATCTTAATCTTTGTAAAAGGGTAATATATTTCTCATTTTATCAAAATACATTTCGTCATATTTGCATTTAATTAGATGTCCTTTGTCTATTTGTCCGTACTTACGGAAATAGCACTTCGGACTGATAAAATTTATGAAGTGTTGTTTACATTATTTTATACGTTGATCATTAGGTGTTCCTATACCCATCATTTGTAATGGAAAACCATAATTATTAGTGTGTATGGCAAAGGTAAAGTTATAAATTATGTTCAGAAGCCAGGACTACGTCTCGATTATTTAAGATGTCGTGCTAGTCTTCAATGTTATAATAAGAATTATATCCCTGGAACCAAAACACAATTATTTGTTTCGTTGATAAATATCATTCGTCCATCCCTCCGGGCTCTTAAGCCCTCACACCCGTACAGTTTAAGTAGTAGATTATAGAATTGTATAATCGTGGTATATAGATGATTGGTTTGATTTCTGTAGTAGAGAATTGATAAGAAGTAGTGGATTCGTAAACGATAATCAACGAGCGACTTTAGTCGCAAGTTGATTATCGTTTCCGAATCCACTACTTCTTATCAATTCTCTAGCTTAACCCATTTCTAGTAAAACGACTGTCTGTTTTACGTTTTGACAATAAATCAACGATATTTCATAAAAATAGTCTCGTATTTTGTCTTTTTTATTCTATAATAGCTGGAAATGATTATATCCACACGGTTCGCATCTATATTTAGACATTTGACAAGTTAACATAAGTTTAAGCTAACTTAAATAGGGTGTTAGCTCCCCTTTTTAACACCAGATTTTAATTTTGTATATACATATTACATTTAATGTTTAATCATTAAAAATTATTTAAATTGAATAGGTTTTGGTATATTTAATTTATTCAAAAAGACATATATTAATATACAGAATTTATTTATCTTGTTTTGAAAAGTTAAAAAATTTTAATTACCAAAATGTAGAACCTTCAAAATGTATATATGTAATATTTAGCAACGGTATATTGAAGGCTAAACACCGTTAAGCCGTTCTTAGTCACATAAATATTATTAGCGTAGATGCCATAAATCTGCCATTTCATAATGCTCAAATTCATGTTGCTTTCCTATAGTATTAACATTATGTGCTGACGATTTAAATTGAACAATAATGTGTAAATTTTGTTTAAACTGTTTCCTTTTCATTAAGTTAAGATTATTTTAACGTTATTACATTTGGCATGTATCGTTCACCGGTCAATACACTAGTTTTATCTGTGGTACGTATTCTGAATCCCTATCAGAATTGCTCTTGCTAAGGATGTACAATGAATAATTATGTTGATTTCATAAACTTACCATCAAGCTGTTCATATAGCCGTGATCGTCTAGTCGTTGGTAACGAATGTCATAACGGTGATATTAACAGTGTAAAGTTCGAACCTTGTACCTGGAAAGAAATTTTTTCATTGTAATTTTTTTTCTGGACCAAAATATTGTTTTAATCCTAGAACATGTAGAAGTATTATATATTTCATTTTCATATAATGGCGATGATTTTGTTTCTGTTTTTATTGTCAAAGAAGTAGTTTAAACCCATTTCTTTAAAAAAAAAAAATAACACCCAAAATAAAAAAAAATCAATAAACATGACCAAACCAAGATATATATTTCATTAGATTACAAAAGCAAATTATCAGTGTGACAGAAGTACAGTTAAATGACATTTTTTTGACAATTAAGTGCTTTAAGAGTACTATTCATATAATGATTGATGTCAGCCTTCGTGGTCTAGTGGTATCATGCATAGACTGAAGACTCTATTGATTATGAAGAAAATACGCGCGGGTTCGAATCCTACACATGCCACTCGTTTTTGAGAGGATAAAAGATAGTAAGTTAAAAGTTTAAAATGTTGATATAAGTTCTCTTAAGTTAATACTGTGGTCAGTGGATTCTTGAAAAATAATCTACAGTAAAAACAATAGTATGACGTCAGAGAAATGGGTTAAGTAATAGTGTTCTTTATTTTCTGAACCCGTCTATGCATAATCCGTAAAAGACAGCATGCAGACACATTAAACTTCAGTCAAGATTAAAAAAAAACATAAAAGAGGGACGAAAGATACCAGAAGGACAGTCAAACTCATAGATTGAAAATAAACTGAAAACGCCATGGCTAAAAATAAAAAGACAAACAGACAAATAATAGTACAGAAGACACAACATAGAAAACTAAAGTCTAAGCAACATGAACCCCACCAAAAACTGGAAGTGATCTCAGGTGCTCCGAAAGGGTAAGCAGATCCTGCTCCACATGTGGCACCCGTCGTGTTGCTTATGTTATTAGAAATCCGATAAATAGTCTAATTCGGTAGGTCACATTCGTGAAAAGGGAAGGGTATTGTAGTTACGACATAAGGAACATAATTATCCGATATCATCTGTGAAACTGTTATTCCATAACGGTCAACCAACTCGTGATGGCGTCCGTAAAATTTACGAAGGGATGATTTCAACTACACCATTTGGAACTCTTGGTTTTATAGCTTCCTTGTGAGCAGCAATCCTCTATCAAGGAAATCATGATAGGAAATACAAGCCTGGGAATATCGTATCAATTGGGAGATATATACTCCGTATGCAGGCGCTGCTGGAATGTTGCTACATAGAAATGGAAAGTTCACAATTGGGAAGCTAAAATCATCTCTTTTGTCGTAAAGTTATGTTTTCAGATAAAATTGAATGCTCCAAGTTTCGAAGTATGTGTCATGTGGAAAGCAAGTGGACCACAGTCTTTGTTTATTCCTCATTGTGTAAACAGCTTTTAAAGTATCTTCTTAAAAAATAACCATCCATCTCCACTTCATGATTCACCTTCAATATTTCAACGACAGAGAAAAGAACTCAACAAATGAACCTTTTGACATATATCATTTGCCATTCAAAATATTCATTCATTTTCCAAGCATTTTTCATTTAACTTCTCTAACCTCAACTCAACACCTTAACCTCAGTAGCCCACTGTCACCCAACGGCTGGGACACTGCCACGCATGGGCCGCCAGATGGATCTTCGCTTTGTCCTTTTTCAATCATATGTGTTAATAAAGTTGAGCGTAGTGGCTTGTCTGCAGTTGTAATAACGTAATTACTATAGATTGAAGAAGTAAAAACTTCCACTTGAGTATTGAAAACAAAATTACTGTTGCAATGACAGTATCGACTATAAGTTATGCCTTTTAGGAAAATAAAATGAACAACAATTAGACCAAACAACTCCTCCACAAAAAAAAAGAAAATACAAAAAAGCAACCAAAAAATAACTACTACAAAGAAAACAGAAGATTGAGTAAAACAACTGCGGATGAAATAATGTGATCTGGGAACACATTTATCGTCCATTGAATTTTGTTTTCTAGAGAGATAATCCCAAGTCTGGACAGTGTATTGCATCTTTACTTAGACATATGATTACATATTAAGAGAAGTAGAACACTATTGATTTAAGTCACTACGTTAACGATCAAGGCTTGTTGCTTCAAAAATAATAACATTGAGCTTAACTGTAAACAAAACAGTTTTCATTTATGTAAACATTTCAAAGAAAAATACACAATTGGTAAACAAATTTAATTGAAAATCCAAGTTTCTCTTACTAATTATTTCCGTTACGTACTTTTCCCCCTATATAATTGCTTACAACTGCTGTTGGCAACAATTTTCGAAGGTTTATTGCAGTTGCATTGTTGAATTTTATATTATAAATGTGTAAGAGTATACATACTCAAGTGAATTAAGGTAGGTACAATAAATGCTCCGTGTTGAAGGCCTCACTGTGACTTTGAGATAAAGAACAGCAATAAAAGTGCTGTTCCTTTGCTTATTGTGTTTTTTTGCTGTGCATGTATTGATTTTGTGTCATGAATGGATATCCTTTGTTTTTCTATTATATACTGTTTATGTTGATGTTCCTGTTTTTGTTAAGCGGCAGTATCTAACCAACAGATGTAGCTACCTTAACAAGAATCATGTAGCTGCGAGAACCAGCGTATGTGCTATATTTTTGATATTGTATAGCTTAGTTACCATCATGTCGGTTGGCGCAAAAAATGTGAGTGTATGTATTAGTTTTCGACTTATGTTCTATGTAGACAAACAGGGTAGTCACTGGCAACTTAAATCTGTGTTCAGGAATAAAACCACTAAGTCATCGCTACATTGCTTTTTGTGTTGAATTATATAATTTCAAGCATTTATAGCTATACTGTCTTAAGTCTCAAATGTAGTGGCAGTCATTTCATAACAAATGTATACAGTATCCTGACTTGTACTGAAAATTTCAGCATACCTCTAATTGCATATAAGAGCGCACTGGTTCCCCGAATTTGGGTAGTATAAAACAGGTACTTCTGATCTGAGCAACAGAACAAATATGCCCTCTTATCTTTTCATATATTTATTTTATATTTAATAGAAACTTTCGACAAGGATTTTACAGTGATCCCTAGACTTTGAGCTTTCATTTGATACTAAAATTATTCAAAGGTTTAATTTTTGACAAAGTTACAGCTATGAGTAGAAATAATTTTGTTTAAAATATGTACTGCTTTCTTGTATGTTCTTTGTGACCGGGCCCAAATTAGTGGTTCTATATCATAAACCCATCAAAGTGTTTGCTTAGTACTTAGTAGAGCTATTGGGATAATGTGTCAGTCATTGATGTTGTCTATGCATATACATTATGCTAAAAAAAATGAACAAGCCGGTGTTGCTGGGGTCTGTTGTACTGTTAAGTAGTTTTTAATGGTTTCTGATCATGATATGCTATGTTTGTTTTGGTCATAATCGACAAAAATGATTTGCACATAGTTTTCGTTTAAAAAAAATCATTCAAACGTAGAAAATGTAACTTTGTTAAAATTGGACACCTTCATTTATATTAAATATATAAACGAGATTGCTGTTCAAAGCTTTAATAGTGACATTTTAGATATGGTAACCCGTAAAGAAACTCCAATCGCCATGTACTATTTCCGATCCTACTCCAGGGTAATGACGTACTTTCACAACGTCTCCCTTATGCATATATACTACTGCATTCATTGACCCTGCCTGTGATCCTCCACCTGTTGCCGCATGTCCACGTGATATTTCGCTGCTATTTTGAACCATTTGAAGATGTAATTGAGTTGCAGTATATGGTCTTAGAAATGTACAGACAAAGAAATAAATTCCACCGTCAGGTGCTGTGAAATGACCCGTATGTTGGTTATAGCCTTTACCAATGTTGGTAATCACTTGATCGAAAATAACTGTCTGTGTAGAACCAAGGTTTACATACGGTTTCAATCTTGCATGAAAGGCAACTTCAATGGAAGAGATCGCAGAACCAGCTATAAAAAAATCAATCGTTGTACTATCTATTTATTCATATATTGGTGTATCTAGGTTTACAACTGATTTTACGATGGTTATCTTTCTTTGTTTTAATCTTGAGTTGCCGTGGTATCTATACATCCTTTATCTAATTTATAAAATGTGTTTACATTTTCGTCTCAATAACTGATGATACTTATCCAATATTTCCATTTACGTATTCTAAATTGTTTTTAATGATTGAGAGGTCTTAATTATTATATTCCATTTACAATTATGAAATTTAGACAGGGTATGGATTCGCATAACGGTTTATACTTCCATAGCAAAAGTCGCTCACCCTGTCGACGCACACGGCCTCATATTTCTATAAACAATCATTGGAATAATTTCAAGCTGCTCATTCTCTCACATTTTTCGAAGTGGTTAACGACTGACATACAAGTGAAAGTTTTAGCTAACTATAAAACCAGGTTTAATCCACCATTTTCTACATACGGACATGTCTGTACCAAGTCAGGAATATCACAGTTGTTTTCCATTCGTATGATGTGTTCGAGCTTTAAAAAGGACTTTCCGTTTTTAATTTCCCTGGGAGTTCGGTATTTTTGTTATTTTACTTTTTTTTAAACATGTCTATTCTGATTTTACTTCTATCAAAATCATCTTACTAAAACTTACTCTCTCCAAGCAGTCTGTTTGTCCTCTGCAATGTATTAATTGCCGCTACTACTGTTTCCTTTGCTTTACCTAAACTAAGGTGATTGTTAATACACTATTGTAAATTTTCGTCTATAACCTCTACAATTAAAGCACAATACAAAAACATAACAAAGATTCAGAGCGTTATCATAAGCAATGCTGGTAGATATAACATTATAAAAGAGTGGTGAAAGATACCAAAGGAATACCTAAACTCACTTTAAGTCGTTCACAAACTAACGAAAGAACAAAAAACGACAAAAGACAAATAACAGTAAAACACAACAAAGAAAACTAAGGTCTGGGCAACACGAATCCCACCAACAACTGGTGGGACCTCAGGTTCTCTGGAAGGGAAAACAGATCCGACTCCACATCTAGCACTACTGGTACTGCTCATGTAAGTACAAATTCAGTGATGTAACATTCGCGGAAAAGAGGACGGGATTGTAAATACGACAATTTGAACATATCACCACTTAGAACTCTTAATTGATAACTTCATTCTTGTCAACAATAAACTTCTACGAAGGAAACCATGATAGGAAATCGTGATAGGGAATGCCAATCGAACTAAAACAGGTTGGCAAAACACAGTAAACAAGTCTAAACAGTAAGTAAATATTTAACTTTTGACACAATAAATTTTTCACAAAACCAGGAATGTTTTGAAGCCAACGTGAAAGACACCAGGTGGCAGGTCTTTGATTGAAGAATAACTCTTCCGTTTTGAACTAATTGAAATGTGCAAATTGACGGGAAAAGAAAGTAAATCGAAAACATGTGAGAAAAAAATTAGCTACTTACCTACGTTTCGACAACTATCTATCCCGTAAACGGCTAAGAAAGTACTGAACAGTATGCTGATATATAGTATTCTCATTTTGGTCCTCACAAATATTCCTTATAATTGAATTGGTAGGTAAATTAACAAATATTAACTTTTGATTTCGTCTGGCGTTCAGTACTTCAAATAATAACACAAAGAGTCATTTGATATTATAATGATATCATTGCGTGCTAAAACACACTCTGACATTCTGTTTATCAATCAATAAGTTCGTTTAATCTATTTTAAATACCGTATGTGATAGACAGTCTGGTGAAAGAGAAACAATATTATATAATTTAAACTTTACACTTATATTTCGACAGGGAACAATTACATGTCACATTAATATATTGAGACTCAATGTTGACCCATTCTACCCTCTTGAACTGATACAAGTAGTTCACAGCAACGAGACTGTCACAAAAAAACAGAGGACGGAACAAAACAAAACAGGAACACAAAGGGAGAAAACGTAATAATATGACAATTTCTAATTAATGTTTCTCTATTTTACTCACAAACATTTCCTTCAAATAATATATCAATGATATTATTTCAGTCCCACAAAATTTGTTAATATATGATTTCATAACACCCTGAATATGTGCTGCTGTTATACGAACTGTTGAATTGGGACCATGTTATCAAATGTGAACTATAACATGTATAACAAACTGTAATAAAACTCTACATGTTTCGCCATTAGCCAAATGCAATCAAATGCCAAGATTTGCATTCACCCTGAGGAAAAACATGTGTAAAAGGGAAGATTTTATTTTATTTCATTTTTTGTATTTGCAAAGCTAGTTATGTTAATACACTTTAATCTAATTGCACACTCGTATCTAATAATGACCAAAAACAATAGAGAACCAATGATAGTAAACTCTGCCAACGTTTGCTGCTTTTAAAAGTAGACATTATATACTTCAGAAATTCATAGATTAGTTCATTATTGTTTGCTTAAAGTCAAGTGGCAAATATTCTGTGGATGATCCGGATAAGCTTAAAACAAGTACTGTTTAACTTACCCGGATGAAGTAGGGCGTTTTTATTTCAATTGCGAAAAGAAATGCACGTACGAAATTGGACTGAAAGTTTGCCTTGGAAAAAGTCAGCTTCATATTGATCAAAGACATGCTGATGAAGAATTTGAACATGCAGAATACCTGGCACTGTCAGAACAGGGGGTACAGGATTTGACGTCCCATTTCAATCTGAGTAACATGAACCCATCCAAAACACCGGTATTGATCTCAGGTGTTGCAAAAGGGTAACCAAATCCTGCTACACATGAAATACCCGTCGTGTTGAGTATATAGAATAATTCGATAAATCAAATTAAGTAATTAGATAATAACTTGATCATCAAAAAATATTTTATGAGAGTGCATAAAATTTGCTGTTTCAAACTTAAATGTTTTTTTAACAAAATCCTATCAGATTTCAAAGATAAAAAGATGTATTCGATGAAATGTCCGACTGCTGTCACAACAATTTTCGTACATAAATGTTCTGCAATGATGCTTATTTGTGGAGACAATTATCGAATAACTAGAACAAGTGTTTCCTTAATATGATGTCTGTCATATATAACGTCAGTTTCAGAAAATTTCTGATACACACTACATTTCTTGGCGTATCTGGCGATGTCAATCTTTGAACGTATTGTCTGCACTGTCTAAATTGTCATTTCTCTATCGGCCCAAAAGGGCCAATTGATCGATATAGATATACTTACATGATCTTTTAATGTTAATCAAATTTGCTGAACTTTTATAGTTTATGTGTTATTGTCATAAATAAGCAAGTAAAGAGCACTCGTCAATTGTTTAACTATTTTTTTTTTTCTACTTAATCAAATGTTATATTATAATTTTTGAAATGCACATCTGGTGCAGTAACATTAGTACCTTAAATGTTATATCTACCTCTGGATCGATTTCTCTGCTAGTGGACTGGTAATGCCAGAGAGTATACATAGCCCAGTTATATTGCCTGTTATGAAATATCGAAATAAGATTGAATTAATGAATGTATCTCCCGCTTGCATAACTCTGATTCTTGTTCAGATTTGGCTTTACTTTGTGTCTTTTTTTTTTGTTTTTAGGCATTTAACGTTAGTACATTTATTAGGTTTGCGATTTTAAATATTTTGGTCTCGAGAATCAGTGAAGAGACATTTATTGTCGAAATGCGCCTCTGTTGCAGTAAAACTCTTACTAGTTAATGTCTTAAATGTTGAAATTATAAAAAAAAAACTTCAAAAATTCATTTTGTTTGGTCAATTGTAAACATGATCAGGTCAATCGATCATGGACATATAACCCTAAGTGCGTATTTGTCATACAACTGACATATACCGTTTTTATATTTGGCCAATTATCGACTTGGACTACTATATGGCTGGCGTGGCATCTACGGCAAGATATTCGTACTCTTGAGAAGTACCAAGTATCCCTTTATACTTTTTGAGAAGATCGCACCGTCAGAGCCTATAGTTTAATTGTTATCTGTCTACGCTTCCCCTTGTTTGTCAGGAAACCTATCGTGTTTTATTTGAAATACATCTTGTGTCATATCCTTTACGTATATTCTAATTACCATTTGTATTCAGTGTTTTTATTCTTTCGTAAAAAAAAGATTACAAGAAAACGTTGCCAACGTGGAGTATACTTTTATATGGTATTTGTCAATGATTACACAAATTAATAAAAGTTAACAACATATCGGAGTCAGGTACCAATGAAACTATAGTCAACAAATAAATGTAAATATTCGAAGATAACCGTTGTGTTTTAAATCTTTGACGCACTATAAAAATGCATAAAATGATAACTAAAGTTGTATGTGTATGACTTTGATGTACATCTGTTATAAGTAATAATGAAATTAACAAAAATATTTCCTGGTAATGACATACTTTTGGAGAGATAACCAACCTTAATTAAAGATTATCAATTAAAAAAACCTATAATTGACCACCAATTAATCTTAAATATCGTTTATGATGTTTGAATATCAACTGAACATCTGATGTTATATGCTGGTTATCCGCAATACCCCCACCCCCCCCCCCCCCCCTTCTCCTAAACTGGGACAGTGGTGTTACAGTGCAGCATAAGGAAAACAATATCAGTTGAACAGGGCATTACTCATCCGATCGATAAAATGCAAAGTACTCGCAGTTACTGAAAGCAAGTTCAAAGCCAATATGTACTAATGAAAAAATCATGTATTCAAGACTAAAGTATGTGTTTTTTGTATCACTTCATTCTACGTATTGTGGCAATTGATTCCATTCATATATCATTTAACGTAGAATTTTATGTCAAATACATGGTATCGTATTATACTTTTTATCAAATATGCTTTCTCGGAGAAATGTGGTCATTTGAACTCTGGTGGATAATTGTCTCGTTGTCAATCATACAGGAATTCCTTGTTTCTATATATAGGTTTGATTGCAAATAAAACACGCAAGACAAATGCTTATCAAGCTTTTTAGTTTTGATTTCCTGATTTTTATTCACTTCTAACTATTCGTTTGTGACCTGAAAAGGAAGAATGAACTATGTTGTTTTTTCGGTTGCTAATTTTAAAGGAATAAAACACGAAATGTGCGCCTTGTAAATTCACTTGTGCGACAATAACATGAAACCCTGATGTAGAACAAAATCATAAACAGACTCTGCAATTGCTTAAACGCAACACCATCACATTATTATTGTTTAGTTTATAACAAAAGACAAAATTATTAAAGGTTACAAAAATGTTAGAAAAATAACCACAATATCGAGTATTAACTTTAAAGACACACGCATTCATCTAACGCCTAATGTCATGACAGACCCTAGCTGGATTTATTTTATCTAGTTATGTAATAAGTGAGCATTACATAACTAGATAAAATAAATTATATCAAATTTGCGGATAATCCAGTCCTTTTCCGTCTTGGATCTAAAACTAATGTGTCTTTGAAAACTTTCTTTGGCGGATATTTACAAATATGTTGTGTAATTCTAAGGAAAAATACTTAAAATTTGACCATTTACGAAATGGGAAGGATGAAATTATCATGTTTTAAAAGAATTTGGCCGAAAACTTTAGAAAACAGGTAAGATAATAGTTATTTAACTTGAAAATTCAACCTGCAAAAAAATATCCAACTATCGCAAAATATCCAACGCAAAAGTGAAATATCACAGTTTTGCTC